TGATGCCGGTTTAATGGATTTTGATGCGAATATTAGGGCAGAGGCGGAAGCGCGGGTGTAGCCGGAAGAGGCTGGACAGGTTTCGATGGGGCTGGGCCCGATAAAGGTGCCCCATCAAATGGAGGCAAAAGACCCCATCAATCCAGAGAAAATCCAGCCAAATATCGAACTTTTTCACGGATGTGGGGTAGCCCCAAAGGTGCATCAAACGGCCCCCGGACCGCCCAAAGGCGCCCAAAAGCGCCCGGCCAAATAGCTGGGTAGTGTAGTAGCTGTAGCTGGTCGAGTGGCTAGCTCCGCTGGTATAGGCAAAAGGGTCCCATGGCTACATCCACTTTGTTTAGTCTATATATTACAGCTACGGCTCGGTGAACGACTTACTGCTCCCCCTCAAGGTCCAGCCCGCAGGAAATAAATTTACTCGGGGACACATCGTGCAACGACGGCACCCCCCTGACGACGTCTGCCGCGTCGTCCTGGCTCAATTTGAGGCGGACCTCTGCCTCCGATTTCCCTTGATAACGTATCGTCAGAATGAAGCCCTCTACGAGTTACACCAACGTACCTATCACCTTCACCGCGTAAGGGTTATCGGCGTCCTCCGCCACAGAATCTGCCCCGAGGTCCAGCTGCCTCTGCTCGAACGCGTCGACCCGAGCCTTCCACACGGGGACGTACTCCGCCCGTTCCGCCGAAAACGCGTCCAAGGCCTCCTTTTGACGCGCGTACTCCTCCTTCGCCTTGTCCATGCGACGCCGCAAAGTGGCCACTGTACGTCCCGCAAGCTGTGAGCAAAAGACTCGGCAACGGAACGAAGATGGCGTACCAATGGCAATCAGTTTCTGCCAGTTCCAAGAGCCCCACTGGGCGTCCAGCACGTCGTGGCGCGAGCCTGGACCCATCTCCCGTGTGCTCGATGCCAGTCCGCCGATGCTGGCCCACGGCCGCTCAATACCCTCCCCGTCGAGCTGGCTGACGCCGCGCGTGAGATTGAGGGAGCACTGAAGCCGACAGAGCGATTTGTGCCCGTGGATGTGTAACTTGGGAATTACGAAGCGAAGGAGCTTCATCACCAAGTCCAAGCGCACCAGCGCTGGCATGTTCTTCATGCGACCCTTCAGAAACTTGTACCAGATGCAGACAATGTCGTAGGAGAACAGTTTGGGTTGGCGCGGATGTTTGTGTCGCATAACGGAGCCGAATACATAATCCATGTTAGCGAATCTAGTAAGACGGTCAGGAGCCAGTACGTCCGCACGTTTCATTACTCACCTTTCTCCCCGTTGCAAGTCTCCAACTCCGTTTGGCTGCACAAATTCGTGTCGCGCGCAAACGCACATTCCCACCCCGGTCGAGCTATAACCACGCGAGAATTTTGTGTTGGCGTAATCCAGAGCGGCGAGACCGCTACATGTATTTATCTGCGGAGACATCAGCCCTTTTCCCAGTGTCAATTCGCGCCTTGACTGACCTCTTTCTGATTCGTAACCGTCCGTAAATACTCCCGGTATGGCTCGTCCTCCACCATGTACGCAAAACCGGTGGCAAGGCCGGGGTCCTTCAGCTCGCTCGAAATTAGCCGACGCTTCAATCGGAAGCACACATCGAACGCCAGCGCAAGAATGAATTTGTATCTGCGACGACACAGGTCAGAATCTCCAGCGGAAGAAGGGAGAAGCAAGAACATACTGTTCCTCCGGAGGGGCGTTCTCCCAGTCATCCAAAATGTTCACTCCGGGCCGCGGGCATGCAGGGCACTCCACCGCACACGCTCCTGGCTTTGTCCCTGCCGCTCCAGAGTGGTCGTAGGCGACCAATCTCCCGGACTGCATCAGCAGCTCCAGAAACGAATGCTCGCGACACATGCGAAGCCATTCGTGATACCGATCCGACGGTTTGACCCTGACGTTGTTGGTAAGTCTCTCCAGCACGCGATAGGCGTCGTACATCGTCGTCTTGGCTTGGAGGGTCTCCTCGCGGAATTGGTCGAGAAGGTCGATGGTGGCGCAGGTACGAGGTTTGTTGTGGGTTGCCGGAAACCACCTCGCGCGCAAAAGCTGGACTTCGGGGGAGCCCGCCAGCAAGGCCCTTCTGCAGCCGGCGCCACAGAAATAAACATGGACGTCGTGGATCCCGTTGGTGTGCAGGACAACAAAATCCTTGTGGCCGCGCTCAGGCGCCTCGCATGCGTCCCCGACTTGGTGCCCCAATTGGACGCGAAGCCCAAGGCTGGCCAACAAAATCTTGGTAAAAAAACCCGAGTCGTTCCAGCGCTGTCAATACGACGTGTCAGCGGCCAGCACGATGTGCTCTAGAGAGACTTGGACTTACATAAACGCGGTGCAACGGATTTTCGGCGTGCCTCGACACACAGCACGCTTCGCAATAAAGCGCGCCTCCAAAGCAGTCCCGACATCGGATTTTCGGGTCCGCGCTGCCGCATCCCGGGCACCAGTCGATGTTGGCGCCACCCCTACCGTGAAGACAAACGTACTCGCTCGCGAAGCTATCAACTTTCAGTCGCCACTCGCTCAGTGATTTATCCTATGGCGCTCCATTGAGTACAGGTTAACTCTGGGGAAAGCGGACAAGCTGACCGAGGGTTTGATTGGTTTGGGACCTATATCTGACGCGTCTGGGCCGTCTTTGTCGTCCAGAGAGTCGCCCAAGTCGAGGCGGTAATGCTCGAAGGTCAAAGTTTGCTCGGACGTGTGGAGTTGAGCCCGTGAGTCAAGCAAGGCCTGTCGCGCGGCATTCTGGCGTTTTACTGGGCTGGGTGGTTCGATGGGCACCTCCTCGCGATATACGCGTCTGTTGTCTTGGCTGACGCGGTTGACGAACGTGGGGATTGGCGCGTTGATAGCTGATTGCGCCGAGTCGATCAGTTGCCTATTGTTGCCGAACGGGTCATTGGGGATCTTGGCGCATTGGCGTGAGCGGAAAGACATGCTCTGCCATCGTTCTACGACTTGCAGAAAATGTCGTCCCCTCGGTGGACTCTGACAATTGCCAGCAAAATATGTTTGGTCCCGTTTGCCTGCGGCCTCAAGGTCTCGATCAACAACAACCAACCGCCCTTTTCTTCCTCGTATACCCGCAGCGCGCAGCACTCAATCTCTATCTTCGACTGTCATGGGTGACCCTTCAGGCATGGTCTATCCGTCTCTCCCCCCCAGCGCCGACAACGACGGTTCTTTTGCTTGCTCTCTCCCTCTCTTCACCCACCCGGCCTTCAAAGGCATCGACACCCACGAAGTCGACGGGCGGTCCCATTGGATCTTCCTGAAGCATCCCACAAAATCGGCGGCATTCACAGACCTGTGCGTCCCCGCCTTCACGTCCGTCGTAACTCTTACTAACGGCCTTGCAGAAGTTCGTTCAAATTGTACATCCTCGACCTCAACGACCCCGATTACAAATACGAGGACCACCACAACTCCGACAAGGTTGTCCAGTTCAAAAAAATCCTCCACCTCGCGCATGCGCATTACAAGTTTTGCGTCGCTCACCACCGTCACCGCACGACTGCCGTCCAGAAATGGAACTCCATCCAACTGGTCCCGGAGGAAGTGCTCCACCGTCTCGTATTTTACGACCCTTCCAGCCGGGATGAACGCCTGAAGCTCCCCCGTGAGCACGACCGCATGGGCAAACTCTTCCCGTGCGACTACTATACGGAAGACAATCCCGCGCCCGCCGCGAAATTCAGGCCCATGCTGACTTACAAACCTCCCCCGCCCATTGACAATGCCCGCCTCCCACACGCCGACGCCCTCTTCCAGTCCTTAATCACGTACAAGGAGGCGTTGGCGACGTCGTCTTCCGCGCCCATTGCGACTTCATCCAAGGCGTCGGCCTCTTGCGCGTCCACGGCGTCCTCCTATTCCGTGCCCGAGGCGTCGATCTATTCCGCCCCCACGGTGTCGACCTCTGCTGTGTGTGCTGCGTTGTCTCCGCCTGTGGACGGACCTTGGTTCCTCCTTTCCGACGGGCAGTTGGAACTCGACCCGTAAGTCTTCCCCTCTTTTTTTTCCCCCTCGTATGCTGTATGTTGAGTCATACTTACCAGAGTCGAAGCCGAGAGATTGGCGCGTAACGGTCCGGACGGAACCCGCCTCACGCTGCAACTTGTCGACACCCTCGCCCAGGCCCAAAAGTTGCGCCAACAGGTGATCAAGAAGACGCGCAAGGCGAAGGCACACAAGCCGGCGGGGGGCGGCGCGTGATCGGGCGGTGTTTTTTTGGTTTTACTTCTTGCTTTTGAATTTGCTTTACTTACGATCTGCTGCGAGCGGCCAATATGTACATTACTGATACTCTGTAAATGCCGCAATACTCAATGAAAATGTACATCGCCTATCCACAGTGTGAACAATTCCAGCTCAATCGCTAACAATAAATTCAGTGGCGCATTGTACAATTATTTTTTATGTAAAATGTAAAATTCATTGGAAGGGCGTAGGGCATGAACACGGTCCAGAGCGGCCAAGATTTCGCATTCTGTTTGCTGTCAACCACCATGTCGTCGCCCAAGGCCCCCAAAGGTGTCCCATATGGCAGTGAGGTTTTGCAAAAGTGAGTGGGAGGAAGCAAGGAGATTTCCCGATTGGGACTGACACACATGCGGCAGAGGCGAAAGATACGCTTCGCTAACATTCCACAAATTCACGCACAATCCACCTTGCCAAGTCTTCTATAGCTACGACGCCCCTTACCAGTTTCACAAGGTCCTCGTCGATGGGCGCATTGTTGTAAAGGTGCGTTTGCAATTTCTTTTCTATTTCTTTTGCAGTGTGTTGACGACGTTCGACGCGCAAGGCGAAGGCACACAAGCCGGCGGGCGGTGTTTTTTTGGTTTTCTTGCTTTTGAATTTGCTTTGTAATTGCCGCAATACTCAATGAAATGTACATCGCCTATCCACGTCGTCATTCGTTCGCCTTCGCAAACGCCTTGAAAAAAAACCAGGCAATGAAAGAAAGAAAAGCGTCAATGCCAACTATGCCCACCGACGGATTCGAACCGCCTCTCTCTAATTACCAGCTTACCAACACGAGAGTAGTTAGAGCGTACTACCATTGCACCATATGAGCACTAACAATTGCGTGCAGTCCATTCATCATCCCTTGACGTCTCGCCCACATCCACAATTTACATCACTAGGTCGTGCGAGCAAGGAGTCGTGAATTCAAAAAACAAGAAATTACAATTCAAGAAACAAGAAATTACAACTGTAGCTATCCACTTCATCTCGATGCCTTCCACTCTCTCCTCTTCTTCGACTCGTTCTTGTGAAGACGCATGCACATCGGATTGTCACACCCGCACATCCCCGGCGGAAGGTCCGCGTCCGAGTCCTCCCCGTTGTCGTCCTCAAGGCCACACCGGCGGAGCGCGCGACAGCGTTTCTGGTTTGCGGTGACGACCGCTTTGGGGTCGTAAGGGAGGAGTCGGCCGGGCCAGGCAAACCGAGCAGTGGCGTCGTCGACCTGGCTCGCAGCTTTGCGGGCTCGAGGTGCGCGCGCCGGTGGGGCCTTGTTGTGGATGAAGCTCGGGTCGGAGAATGGGATGAGATAGCCGATGTTCCCAGGAGGCGCGCGAGGCAGCGTAGAGGCGGCAGGTTCGCGAGCTCGAGGTCGCGGCGGCGTTGAGGCGGAAGGTTTGCGGGCTCGAGGTGCGCGCGACGCCGGGGCCTTGTTGTGGATGAAGCTCGGGTCGGAAAAGGGGATGAGATAGCCGGCGTTCGCAGGCGGGGCGCGAGGTGGCGCAGAGTCGGCGGGGTTGCTTGCCGGCAGCGGCGCAGTGCGTTTGCCTTGGGTCGTGCGCTTCGCGGTTTTGGCGGTGCTCTTTTTCTTCGCGTTCCTGACACTGGCGGTGCTCTTGGTTTTCGTATTCTTGACACTGGTCGCGATGTCTGGATCAGCGAGATGAGGGGAGTGAGGGGTACCTACCTCAAACGTCGGGCAGCGTCTGCGGCGCGAATTTCATCTCGATGGCTAAATGACAGTCAGCGCGGCACTCGGCGAGGATCCCTGCAAGACGCACCTCTCGCGGTACTTCACGGCCCATGCGCGTGCTCTCGCGCGCGACTCCTCCGCACCTGCCGAATCCTTGTCTTGTGCGCGAACCCTGCAGATGGTCATGTCAAGTTGCCTGGAGGGGTTGGGGAGGGTTAAATACCTTTGCATTCTCACGCGAGCAGCTTCCCGCAAAGTCTCGCGGTGCCTGGGCGAAAGCGACGGTGAGGATTGAGTTACTCGTGAGCAGCGCAAGGTACCTACTTCTGAGCATATCGCTCGAGCGTAGCACGTCTGTTGGCGGCTTTGGTTTCGGCGTCGACAGGGGTACGGCCCATTGGTGTTACATGAAAGAGTGAACGAAGGGAAGAGGTGAGGCAATCAGTTCGCGATCGCGCTGGCTAGATTGTGCTTTCCAAATTTCCAGTCGACGACGCTCCGAGGCCAAAGGGCGTCGTATCCACGGTGAGGGTTGTCGCGGAGAGTGGGCAGGTCCGAGGAATAGAGGGTGGGCCGATGGGTTGGGATGCGCCAAAAAGTTGACGGTGGGCAGAAGGAAACCCCACTGCGGATTCTGATTGCCTTTGGATGGAATCGCGCACCGCAACGAGTTCGCGACATTTATCGTGGAATCTCGCCTCTCCCGGCTCCCCAAATTTGCCAAATATTCAGAGGGCCATGGGACGATAGGCAGAGTCTGCCCCCCAAAAAAACACTTTCAAGCGAAACGCGCGAGCGGTTGCTTCAAGACTCGTGAAAAAACACTCGTCAGCGGCGAGTTCGCGATACTTATCCTTCGTATCACGGGTGAGTTCGCGATTTATATCGCTCGACGAGCGCTTTCTCCTATGCCTCATAGTTCACAACGCCCACAACAAGCCAAGCAAAGGTCCAGGTACAACAGGAATTCACGCGCAAGCCAGTTACATTCATCCGCAAGCCAATTTATTCAAGAACGACTAGGGAAAGCGACTACGAGACGGACACATTCAAGCGCAAGCCTAGACACCAGGGCAATTCACAACTCACGCGGACATTGCCCCAGTAGATGAGACATACGACGTCAGGTCTACTCAGCGCTGTGCGCCTTGCTTTTGGTCTGGAGTGCGGTTTTGCCCGGGCGACGACTACTCTGCTCGGAGGTCTCGTTAGCGCGTTGGTGAAACTATTGAACAAGGACACAACGAACCCCAGCCAGTTGCTCTAGCAGGATTGTCTCGGGATCTCGCCTCTTGGCGCCGACGCGCGCCATGATTGCGCGCGCCTCTTTCGACGGACCCGGCCCGCCCGCGAGAGGCGTGTGCGGCGAACAACCACTCGAGCCCATGATCACCATCGGCTTAGCACACGCTACGTGCCCCTCGGCGGACGGTTTTGCCAGCAAGGTGCCGTCGTTTTGCACCACGCTGATAATGGGGGCGCTGCGACCGGGGACGAAGGTGACGAGCGGACCCTGTTGCTGCCCTGGCGCGAGATCGAGACGCGGTCGTTTTGCCGCCTCTTCGCGTTCTTTCCATCGCCTCTTGCGTTCATGAAAGTCTTTCCACCATGACGCGCTGCGTACAATCTCGAAGTCGCGGGTGGGTGCAGGCATGGTGCGGCGGTTGGTTAACGTGTTCGACGAGAGACGAGATAGGGAGTTCGACGAGGGACAAAATGGCCGTTCGGTGGCAGAGTACGGACCACCACGTTAAAAGTGTGGCAGCGGTCGCGGGTGTTATGTACTTGTTCGTTTTGTACGACGTAGGTTTGATTCAATAACATCCATTCAATCTCATGTTCGTGGGCGCGGAAAAATCAAGAAGTTTATTGAGACTGGGGAGAAGCCACTGGGACAATGGCATACCAAGCTAGGGGACGATGGATGTGTACATGACGAGGGAATGTAAAGGCTAGGGGACAATGGATGTATACATGACGAGGGAACGTAAAGGCTAGACGACGGATCTTGAGGCTGCGTGCGCCAGCGTTCGTTCTATGGAAATTGGCAGGTCAGAAAACGTGTACGATGCGACGCGAGCGAGATACGTACTTGGGTTCAGCGCTCACGGGGCGGTGGCAGCAGCGGGGCCGAGGCGGGCGCGCAGCGTGCGCTTGTACTGGAACCAAGCCTTGATTCTCTGTGGAGAGAGTGAGTGAGATCAACACACGCAAGGAGAAAAAAACAATGTACACCTTGAGTAGTGAGTTTGAGGACGGTGCGCTGGTCGAGCTCGTCGCGGGTGAGGGGGACGGTGTCGAGGGTCATCATGGAATGGGGGTCGACGTGGAGCGGCAGGCGCCACGGAAACTTGGTCCAATAGTCGTCGAAAGTGGTCCGCCAAAAGTCGGGCAGCTCGCCTTGGGAAACGGCCGCGAGGAAGTCATTGAGGCGCTCGCTCAGAAAGACGATGTGCTCGGGGGAGAATGTGTTGCGCGTGGGACCGCGTTTATGCGCGAAAAAATGTTGGGTGAGGATGGTTTGGCCACCGCGTGTGACGGGGTAGGGCGACGAAGATGAGGCAGTAGACATGGCGCGTATGGGCGAGGACATGGTGAGCGGTGGTCGGTTGGGCCTTATTGCGATTTTGGTTGGTTGGGGGGGGGGGGGAGTCGGGCGGCGCCCTTTTTATTCAGCGTATGGGAGGAACACTACTTGTAACACGATGCATGTCAGCGACATTCATTTTTCTACGGTACGACTGTGGCGATTGAGTTGGACCCAAACGCGGAGCGTGGAGGGTTGATTTGACAGCGGGAATTAATCAAGATGTGAGAAGCCTGCGCGATAATTCAGGCACAAGTCAAGTCGACGAGAAGAAGGGAACATACGCGACGTGTCCCCTTGTGCTTCGAGCGCACAAGCCAGGATCCGTAGGGCGTGGAGGCGACGCTGATAGACGCAGAGCGCTTGGGGGTCGTTGAAGTACCACGACTGCTCGATAACGTCGACGCTAACTCGGTGCACGGCACACCAAACCTCGACGGCTGAGCTGTAACTTTGCCGCTCCCACGTGGCTTTGACACCGCCCATGGTGTCGCCGAAGATGAGGTACGTGCGGAACTGATTCGTCTGGCCGAGGGCGTAGGCGAGGCCAGGCTGGATTTTGAGTGGACTGGGCCTGCAGACGTTCAGGTAAGGAAAATTTTGAGGAAATGATTCCGCCTACATGTTATAGCGCAACTAGGGTTGAGGCGTGGAGGCAAGAGCGGGGAACATATAAGCGCAGCGCGGAGTTCATTTGTGGCAACGGATGTGGACGGGGAAACGTATGGAGGTTGGCAGGCAGGAGCAGATATTGGTAAAACGACGGAAGATAGACAATTAAATGCAGACGAGGTTCCAGGAATGCAGGGAGAGGACCGGTGAGGAGGAGAGGGACCCCAGGCGAGGAGAGTGACCAGTTCCCCGCCTGGGGCTCAAGCTGAACGGTTAGTTTTGCGCACGAAGTGGAAGAGACGAAGGCGGAAGCAAAGAGGGAACGTGGGAGCGATTGTACGTAAAGACCCATTAAGGAAATCCGAAACGCCTAGCCTTTTGACCAACCATATCCCTCTTTATACCATGCTCCTGGCCACCTAGCGCCAGTCCTTCGCCCCCACCGCCCCCACCACCATGTCCCTTCGCATACCCAATCCTCCTGGTACTCGTCCTACGTGCACAATGCCTTACTATCCCTGCCCCGGAGTCGACACCGAGCGTCACTCGGACTCGGCCGACAAGCACTTCTACGTCGTGGAGCGCGGATTCGTCGTGGGCACGTACACCGACCCGTAAGTTTCGGGTTCCTCTCTCCGCCGCCCGACGCAGCACTGATATGTTCATTCGTAGAGATATCGCGACGAAACAAGTCAATGGGTACCGTAGCGGGTTCCGCATCAAACTCCCTCGTTTCGAAGACGCGCAGGTGCAGTGGGCGGTGATGTGCGCCGCAGACCATGGCTTCATCTGCCCCGTCGCGGCAGCTGAACAGCAGGTTCTGCCGCCGACCCCCGTCCTCTCCACCGCCGTGTCCTCGACTCACACGGCCTCGTTCGGCTCAGCCCAGCGCAAATTCGCTGAGGATGCGGTCGCCGGCAAAGCGTCCCCTCTCCCT